TACAATGCATAGGATGACGCGCTTGAGTCTTGAGTCTTGGACACTTTATGCTAGTATATGACATATATGTCACATTAAGTATTAAGTATGCGAGTGTCCAGTGTTCTTGTTTCTCTGAAGCCCAGTTCAGTGTGTTAAATGATTGTGTTGATATTCTTCTGTGTTCATTATTTTCTTATATCTATCTTTCTTTTAATTTTGTCTTTGTTTTTTTTTTTTTTTTTTTCGTAACATGGTTACTACAGATATGCTACCCGAGAGGTTTTAGGCTGTTAGTATTATGTTTATTTTCTATATGATCGTGATGTTTAGGGTTAGAGTTAGAGTTAGAGTTAGGAGTTAGAGTTAGACGTTAGGGTTAGGTTGTTATAGGGTTAGGGTACACTTCTGCTAGTACAAGTCTGGACACTTTGTGTATACATATATGTACCTCAGGTAGCATTATCTGTAGTAGCCTGTTACTGACAACGACCCCTTGAGCGTCACTAATGTGTAAGTCGCCGGTGGCAATATTCGATTTTACAGCCTAATAGTAATATAAATAGTCTATACCGTACTATTACTAATGCTGAAGGCGATCGTTGTCGCGTGATCAGGTACTACAGATATGTACCGAGGTACATATATCAGGGTTCTGGCCCGCGCTCGTAGGCGGCGAAAGCCAATCTAGGGGTCAGGACCAGACCTTGTAGTTTACTACAGAAGTTGTACCCAACCCTAAAACCATACCCTAAAACATACCGTCATATTAAACAGTCTTCACTGCAAAATTTCTAAACAACTGGACCTTCCGGTCCACCAAGCTAGCCAAAATTTACGGAGCCAGCACTAAATTTTACTGCGACCCAATACTATTTTGACATTTTTGACAATTAAAGAACAAAAACATAATATCATTTGTATTTTACCTCTATAGCTAAATACCTTTACAACCACTGCTATGAAACAGCTAACAGTAGATAATACGCTATCAAAGATATACTCACATATACCTTCCTACACACTACAAATAGAAGCTGCAAATAGAACAACAAAATCTTGCGTTATCGTCAGTGAGCATGTATCACAACATAACTCTTCTACAACAGCGGCCTATGATAACAGTAAGGATACTTATCAAACATCTTATTCCACATACCTGCATACAAACTGCTTATGATAACCGCTAAGTAGATGATACTATATCAAACATTTGATCACCATTACCTGCTACAAACTGCTATGATAAACATAAGCGATAACTTATCAAACATTATCACATACCTTTCTACAAACTGCCTATGATAACAGTCAAGGATATCTTAATCAAACACCTTATCAACATACCTTCTACAAACTCGCTGATAACAGTAAGGATTACTATCAAGACAGTTTATCAATACCTTCTACAAACAGACTATATGTAACAGTAGGATACTTATCAAACATTTTCACATACTTTCTACAACACTCTATGATAACAGTAGAATAACCCTATCAAATATACATCACATTACCTTCTACACACATGCTAATATAACAGTAAGAATACTATCAAAATATTACATCACATACCTTCTACACACTGTATGATAAGCATAAGAATAACCTATGACGTTGAGTTAGCGATGAACAAAGTTTAAAACGTTGTCTATGACAGTAAAGCTAGTCTCATAAATAACTTATAAATTATTTAAATACAGTACTAGAGTGGCGAAAAAAACTGCGTGGATCCGCACGAGTCATTAACTTGTTATAATTATACTTCGACCGACTGATCAGATTTATGCGTAGCCGATCTCGACCACGGTCCACCGCCTACCCGTCGAAACTGTATTAAAAATATAAACATATATACTAAACAACCTAAAACTACTCGAGTAACAATCTTCAGTAACCTTATACGACAAACGACCCCATACTGCATAGAAACTAATTATCAGTAATACTACAATAGTGATAGCGCGCTATATTCAGTAGCGCTCTAATTCCCCCAGGCCACGGCGCGCGCCCCGGGCTACTGCCGCGAACTTACCCTGTTAACTATTTTATATGGTGTTCAGGGTTTAATGTTATAGGTTAGGAGTAGGCATAGGCGACTCCTAGATCGTTAACTGGAGTAGGCCGAGTACGGTCTGCATATAGAATAGTACCAGAGTTACGTCCGCAGGCCCTGGGAGGCATAGACCCTCTCAGCGCCTAATAGGGAAGGCCAGAACTACATAGCTTTACCCGACAAAGCGTAGCTTTTGTGAGAGTGGCCTACGTGACATGGCTACCAATGTAGTACCAAAAGTATGGCACCAAAACATAGTACAAATAACCAACACCATACCACAATAATATTGCTACTTGCAAACGAAAAAGGCCGTATTTGTGTGCTGCGTCCTAAGCTAGGTAACAAAATAAACGACGAGTTTGCCAAACCTCCACTTGAATCAAAACGTCAGAACCTGCAAAACTACACCAGATGAATTAAATAATTGAAAGCAAAAAACGTGCGTCATATGCATAGCTGGCCACCATGTTGTTGCTTTGTCTTGATATCCACCAACAAGTTGACTTCCATTTTATTCCAATACCGTAATCCTAAAAGATTACATTGATCCCACTTAGACCTACCCCTAACTTAGGAGCTATGACAGGTCATGACATGAAAAACCAGCCTGTTACTCCCAATTGTAAATAGTAGCGAACTGAGTATATACTCAGTAAGCCAAACTAACTAGAGCCCCTAACTAGCCTGAATTCTTACATTGATCATACTCCATTAAAGAGGATATAGAGTATATACTCAGTAAGGCTATAGGTTAGATGTCCCCGGGTAAAATATCGGAGGCTACGCCTGGTACGGTTCGTATATGGAAAGTACCGTCGACATAATATCTGCTGCAATACCCTTGCATTGCCCCACCATACCTGACTTTCACACACACAGTCTGTGAAACAGCAAAAATATTGAGATTAATTGATGAATCATCTATTAATATGAATAATTTAGACAATAATAAAAAGTAGCTAGTCTCGTAGTTTAATGTTATCATGTAATACTATTCATTACCAATAAATAGAAATGCGTTGATATTGACATCAAATAAAAAATACAATATGCACGTGACGCGGCAATACTTTGCGGGCGGAAATACCTCACCCCCAGTATAGGGGAGAGCGTAAATATGTTTGTCGTCACTATAAATATATCATTTTTTTGCAAACCATATGCATATAAAATATATGGTTCTGCATGATTTCATGATCAGTTGCTGAAGTCAGTGTACTGTGGACAATGCAGGGTACGCAGGACATATCGTATAGTACCCCGACGGTACTTTCCGATATATCGAACCGTACCCAGGGTACCCTCCGAATAGTACCCTGGGGGACATAGACCTATCAGCTTCAGTAAGACAAACTAACTAAAATCAAATAGAAGTATTAGAACCCTAAATCTAGCCTGAATTCTTTACATTGATCCATTACTCGCCATGTAAATGGGTAGAGTATGTACTCAGTAAGGCAAACTAACTAAAATCGAATAGAAGTAGGGGGAGGGGGAGGGGAGCATGCCCCTGAACCACCCTAGCATCGCATGCCTTGGGCACGCCTTCACTCAAATATCACCCCCCCCCCATCTCCTGAACGCTAGATCTGCCCTTGTAATACTACGCCCTGGTCTAACCCTAATCTATAATGACTGTTGTAGACTTTGTACTCCAGTCTATCTCACTATGATGCAGATTAATTGTATAGCGTTGGTATTAGTATAAATAAAATAAGAAACCAACCCGATATTCATAACCTCCTTATAACCGGATCAACCAGTTAGATCTACATTAGTGTGGGAATAGAATGAGTGCAAGAGGAAGCTGGTTACACATTACGTATGTGCCCCTGGCATGTTAGGTATAGAACAACAAAACAAAAAGAGAATATGAACTTGGTGCACGGATCTCGATCACTTTCAGCATTTGGGGTGGCCTGTTTGTTTGGGACAACCCCATCTGATCTGTATCGCTTGATCCTGATCAGCCCAAACAAATGCCAGCGCACCTCCACGGCTCCACTAATGGCTCAACGGTCTCTGTGGCCTATCACAGGATTGGTTCGTAACTAGCAACAAGCAGTGGTTCACTGGGTCACATGCTACCATCCTCACATGCAGGTTCAGATCATGTGGATCAAGTTGAGTGGATCCGGCCAAATAAACGGCTAGTTCGTGGGACGCACATGAAATCTGCTTCGTGTGATCCGCCTAAAAACAAGTGCACCCTTGCATGGTCAGATGCTATCTAGTATAGGTTCTACTAGGTATACTCTCTAAGTAGCTAGGTGTATGATAAGGAAGTTGAATCCTCGTTCGCTGGATAGTCTGTGAGCATTGTGACAGGCTGGTTGTATTGGTGACACTGAGGCTGGCCATTGTAAATTTTTGCGTCCCGATTATTGTAGACGGGACAGTGATTGTACGTTGTCATCCAAGCCACGAGGGATTCAGAGTACCCAGTGTTATGTGCCAGGGTAGACCTTAAGAGAATTCACTGCTTCACCCAGAGTTTGAACTCGCAGCCTTTGATGAAGTGAATGGTGAATACACTATAATCATTGAACAACCATGGCTGTCAGTTTTCACACTTGTTACATTTCATTTTAGGCGTGTTCACACACAAGAAAAACCGCGCTGCTCATCCCGCTAATAGCGGAGATAATAGTGAGCTAATTGTGTCGTTGTTCACACAGGCGGAAATATCTCGCTAATCGCCGAGCGGGATAACACGCCGCGGTGCAAATAAGCGCGCTTATTCCAAATTAGCGCAGTCGTAAGTGTTCTTTGCAGCGCGCTATTTTGAGCGCGATTTGGTGAGCTAATTGCGTTCACACTTGTAAAAAGCTCGGTTTTTCGAGCGGGCTGCAAAAACCGGGTTTTGCAGCCCGCTAATTCGCGCCAGTGTGAACGCACCTTTTGTATGCACGTGGATTAGATACACATCGAACAGTGTTCTCATTATGTGACGTTTTTATAGATCACTTTCTTAAACATCAGAATCCTGCCACTGTTGCACTTTTCACGTGTGACCGAGGAGGACATGAGGGAGAAACTGAAAAGTTCAAAACCTCAGGTTTGTGACCGTGCAAGTGATCAATCGATCACCACACTATGTTGTTTCTACCTCCTCCTGCAATTCCCCATTCTGTCGTAGCATGGCAGCCGTCATTGACAGCCAAGAACTTGTTGCTTAGTAATGGTTTGATGTCTTTAAGTAGAAACCGTACTGGTTATTTAATCACATATACATTGAAAAATCCCTGGCTAACATTATTACTTGATTAGCTATACAACTTGTATTACAAGGTAGCATGATTTCAGTATTCCTTATTAGAAATCGAGTGTAGTTATTAGATGTGCTCAGGTGCATAAATTGACTCTAAATTGACTGTTTTAGTCCGTGTTTCACTTACAGGTTATTTCTTTTATCTCTCCAGTAATATACTAAGGTACAGTACAGTACCAAACATCTAACTCTGTCCTGTTAAATGAAGCTGATTGGGCTTGTCACCAGGTGGCAGTGGGTGGCAATAGTAGGATTTGCAATCAGCAAGAGTTGGTAGTGGTTTCGGGGTCAGGTCCTGGGCTTTGGGAGGTATATTGTGTAACTTGAAACAGTCGTTTATAGGCCAGTATATTTGTATTCATCTGTGGCAGCGAAACCTACGGTGTGAAGCTTTTCCCTCGTTGCAGAGTTCACCTCCGACCAGCCAGGAGTCGAGCGCCTCCTCGTGCAAGGAGGCGAAATACCACAAGACGACCGTAGATGCTCTAAAGAAAATCATCTACGATGTTCACCCTAGTCGCTCACTCGCTAGCAAGTTGTTCGGGCCGCCGCAGGCGATGTCGTTCATTGTTGCTCACTCGTTCGACGAGGTCTACCCAAACTTGTTCATCAGTGATAAGTACGTGCTAACGTATGTTCTGTCAGCCTTCGCGCTTCCGCCCCGGCAGGTCATGTGTGCTGTATATACCAGCACGCCCCATCGTACAACTATCACACCCAGCAGCGTCAGTAGGGTTGGCGTCACACGTTGCGGTAACTCATGATGTCACCCGCATGGACCTCCTCCCGTACCAGACCATACAGAATCCTTAGTAATGTTTTTTTGTACATACCAATGTTACTCGTAAATCGTAATTTCCGTATGTCACTGAATGTAATGGCAATAGTAGTGACATAAACAACTTGCAAAATTGCCAGCCCGTACACGCTGAGACTTTTTTCTCACACAGCCAGAAAAATCAAACACGATAGATATTTTGCTCAGTGGCATGAGTGACTAAAATCTCACGTAAACCAGCCCACACACGATGAAAATTTGGCTCAGCGCATTTGCTGCGTGCCGAATTCTCATTTTGTGCGGGGGCCTTTAGTGACGTCATGCAGTACACATTGTTTGTGTGTTTGCGATGGAAACCTTATAATTTATTGAGGTGCACAGAACATTCTACCAATTAGTGGTTTCAGTTAGTCATAGATATGTCACAGTAAGTACTAACAGTAGATGTTTCACATACGTTCACCCATTTTGCACACAGACAGGCCGTCGATCATTGTGAAAAGTAGAAAAAACACTGATTTCTTCGTTTCGATTTCTGCCACAGTAGCCGGTGTGTAAATGGATATTTCTCTGTCATTACAACTCGGAATGATTTAATTTTATGCTCGTTTTAATGGTAATACGTTGCTGTAAAAAAGCCCATCAGGGATTTATATTAAGTGCTGTCTTTTATTATGTTGGGTTTTGGTTATTTATTCGTATAAATGTTCAATCTGAATATATGACTTGAATTTTATACAGTTTTCTTCATTAGAAAGTAAATATGAAACTTAAAGAAAAATTCTGACGCACTTTTTTGGTTCATACTGTGCTTAACTTGTGGCGAAAGTTTTGCTTTCTCACTCTATGTAGTAATTGAGAAATATTCAAAATACCATTTTACATAAAAATTGAAAATGTGTGTCGTCACATAATTAGTTCCTGGAAAGTCCATTAAATTTTTTGGCTTGAGCATATTGATATATCTTATCTATAAATAAAACGTGTGATTAATTTGATTCACTTGTCAATAAACGTTTACTCTTTATTAGCGCAATACCCATGCAAAAGCTTTTAGTGTATTAAAAACTTGAGTGTATCAAAAGTAAGTGCAAAAGCTTGAGAGTGTAAAATGGTGTAGTTTTGATTGAACCCTAACCCTAACCCAAACCTTTGTAGTTTATGGTTCTCTATCTCACACTAAATGTGGTAAAGCAATATCAAGACTCTAGTGCGAGCGTGAGTCATTGCACCAGCAGCTTCTTAAAACGGATAAACCTCGCAACAAAAAGCTCTTATATACCTAATGTGAGCATACTTGCAGTGTGCAAACATAACGAAATGTTCTCATTGAGCCAGAAATGTTCTCCGAAGTTGACTATTTTGAAAACTCTGTCGGACGCGGTTTTGTTACACAGCTAGCAGTAGCCCTACGCTAGCGCAAATAGTTCCTGGAACGAAAACACTATATTTGTTTCCTGATTGCATAAATAATATATGATATGTGTGCTGTGTGTGTGTGCGTGCGTGCGTGCGTGCGTGCGTGCGTGCGTGCGTGCGTGCGTGTATGTGTGTGCGTGAGTGATGTGTGTGTGTGCGTGTGTGTATGTGTGTGCGTGTGTGATGTGTGAATGCGTGCGTGCGTGTGTGCACCTAGGTGTGTAAAATGTTAGTATTTATTGTAGATGTGTGTCACTTATAATCTCCTGATTCTAGGTTGTTTGTTACCAACAAAGAACTGCTGAAAAGCGTCGGCATAACCCATGTTCTCAACACTGCACAAGGCACACGCTATGCACAAGTCAATACCAACCAGGTACGCCTTAACTTCTAAAGTTTACTTTAACTAATTTAGTAAAGATGCTGCTAATGTAAGGTTCGTATATATCTCGAACATAGATAGAGATACGTGACAGTCTTATAAACGGTTACAAATATAGTTTATTCTAAATACACACTCATGACACAGTGGAAACAGTGCATCACATACCGATTCGAGGCTGCCGTCGTCTGTCCCTTCTATTCAAAATAGTCTTCTTTTAAGCTGTCGCCCTTCCCCTGTCCAACTGGTTCTTATTTAATAAAACTGGGTCGAGGGTAATAATCTAAAGAGGACCGTCGCGCCGTGTGTCTGATGACCTAGTACTGGCGCCGGCCATCGTCTGTTTACTCTTGTCATTTTTACTACTGTTCTGTCCCTTCTAGAGTTAATGTGTTTATGACCGAGTTGGCCTTCTATTGTCACTACTGTCTCCTACTGGTATGATTAATGTGTTATGTGACCCTTCCTGACTGTCTCTGTAAACCTGCATTTCTGATTTATTCCTATTGTCTATGTCTCTATGTCTATGTTTGAACTCTGTATTACACTAATTACAGTGGCTGGCATTGAAATGGCTTACTAATTGACAATTGCCATTTTGCCAGATGATTCCTAGTATATTATTACAACTGAAATGGCATTGTTTTTCATCAGATGGAAGGGTAAAACTAGTTTGCAGGTATTACTTCATTGACATTGATATGGTATTTTTTCAATCCATTATCACTTTTGCTCAGTGGCAGAATAGTTCAATACCCAATGTGTTAGTTTAGTAAATTTTGAAATCTAAATCTGCAGTGCTGGTGTTCATGATTTGGATGGGGATAGAGGCAACTGTTTCACTATGTGGTATTTGTTACGTTGCCCTTTGCCATATTGTAGAGCACTGATGCAGATGTGCAGGGCTTTCAGGTATTGTCTCGTAGTTGATGGCAGCTGTTGTGAGGAGTTTCACATACCCAAGCTTTTGACTGTTTTCTCGACCGAGTAGTGGCAACGCTTTTCCTGGAACCACCATGAACGGAACTTGATATGTTTTCCCATTGTTGTTGACTGGAGGAAGACATTTTCCTATAACTGGGATCGGCTGGTCATAATAGGCTTTCAGGCCATGCATAATAGGACTGATTTTGGTTAAAGTCCGCTCGCTGATAATGTTAGCCTGGGCCCCTGTATCGAACTTGATGTTCAGCTTCTGTCTGAGTATCTGCAGCGAAGCAATGCGGTCGTCCTGGCGCACCGAGTCTATTGTCACCACAGGCACATTGTAACATACCTCATCTACTTCATCTGCTGATTTGTCTTCAACATTGTCTGCTCTGAAACATCTTGAGTGACAGCATTTGGCGGTATTTGACAGGTTTTTGGCAGCATTTGGCAGCATTTGGCGGTATTTGACAGTATTTTGCGAAGTGGTTTTTTCTATCGCATTTGTTGCACCTCTGACCGTCCGCAGGGCATTTCATTGATGCATGCCGAGTTCCACAGCGCTGACAGTCATGTTCGTTTACCTCCTGGTAGTCCGGTTTAAAGTGATTACGTCACCGTTAACAGTAAAAATTAAAAAAAATATTTCCACTTTTTCACAAAATATAAGTAATTCTGTTCACTTTTTATGGTTAAATTGCTGCATTATACTTCCTGTCGCTTTTTCACAAAATATAAGTAATTCTGTTCACTTTTTATGGTTAAATTGCTGCATTATACTTCCTGTTTTACTATATTGTTCGATGTGAACATACACTCGTGACTCATACATAGCCCATAGCAAGCAAAACAATCTTATCAGGTAAGAATTTGACGATACGTTTAGTCCCATTAGTTCTTACTTTTAATGTAAAAAAATGGCAACAACATTTTTACAAATTTTACCATAGAAAATTCGTGACGTAGTCAATTTAAACGATTTATGCTTGGCTGGCACAGCTTCTTCCTGCCTCTCAACACATTTCCCCTTTTCCAACTGAAGTAAGATGAAGGAACATGATTGTACAATATAACTGCCATGGTGGAGTTAATCTTGCTTCTAAGAGAGAGAATCCTGATAATTGGAATTCTAATTTGTCTTTGTTACTCAATGGGTTTCATTGGCACGGTTCCTTGTATATTACCAGGAAGTTCCTCTTGGAAAGTTCTATTTTAAGTATTGCAACGCTAACAATAACAATCACAACTGGAATATCCTGGTCCAATGCATCCTTAGCAATGGTAATTTATTACCCCGTACAGTTTTGTCGATATACCACCATTCCAGGTGGTCTATGTTATTGCTCGCCCGTGTTATGGCCTCTCTGCATAAATAGCAGCATAAGCACATTTCACTAATCTATGATAATATTCAATAGCATGTGACGTTTTTCTACTCGCTGTTTCCCCCTGTATTATTTTATTATTATTATTAAATCTTTATTGCATGTAATTCAATTACAAATACATGGGGGGGGGGGAATCTGATAGATGCAGTAGTGTTTATAGCAGAGATATCATGTATGTGTATGGAGGTATGAAATTGTGTGGTATTTAATTATGTGTGTGAAGCTATTTCCTAGTTCCTAGTTCCTTATTTTCACAAATAAGTAAGTGGACTCTTACATTACATCAAGAGTAGATAATAACAAATGTGTTATTATCTACTCTTGATTAAATCAAGAGCCCATTAACCCCAGAGCGTACAACGCTGAAATAGGAAAACCATGGTGTCGTTTCAGCAAAATTAATAAAGTTTACCTACCATATTTTGATACTTCTCTACCGGAATATTATGCAGGAGTCATCACTAGCCAATATAAAGATCAACCGCTTGTCTCTACGATGTTCCTATGCTGAGATATAAAGCGATAAAAATCGAGTACTTCTAGGTAATCCTAGCGCCATATCACCCAGTAACACGCCTCTCCCGCGTTTAGTGACTGCATAGATATATACAACACATGTTATACACAACAAAACATATGTGTTGTATTGTGTCCCTATTATCTACTCCTGATGTATGTCATGTGCATGTGTAGGCCTATATTATGTGTGCATATGTATTATTTGTATGTATGTGTGCGTTCGTGCGTGCGTGCGTGCGTGCGTGCGTGCGTGCGTGCGTGCGTGCGTGCGTGCGTGCGGGCGAGCGTGTGTACTCATGACCATACAGTATGTATAGATAGAAGTATAGATGGGGGTATGTGTAGGTATGCGATTTATAATACAGTATAGGTAATGCTCTGTGACATTTTTAGGCATACTACACTGACCTGGGCATCACCTACTATGGAATATTTGCGGAAGACACTTCCAGGTACAATCTCTCCGTCCACTTCTCTGAGTGTGCATACTTCATTGACAGCGCACTGAAATCTGGGGGTGAGTTCACCTATATGCATGGTCACACAGTAGAGCGTGTTATAGTTTTGCGTTTTGGTTTCATGTTTTAGTTCCCATGTTGTAGCTTCACGTTGTGATTCAGTGTTATTGTTCCATGTTCTAGTTTCATGCTTTGTTTGCAGATGGTAGTACTATTCCATGCTCCATGTTCTGGCATCATGCTGTGGTTTAAGTTGTAATTTTTCTCCCTGGTATGATTACAGTTAGTTAGGTGATGTGAAAATCTTTGGACCGCATTTTAATCAGAAATATAAAACGAACCGTTACTTCAGATGATGCCCCACCCCCATACACGCAGGCATCTTACCCACCCCATACACGCAGGCCAGGCATCTTACCCCACCCCCATACACGCAGGCATCTTACCCCACCCCCATACACGCAGGCCAGGCATCTTACCCCCACCCCCATACACGCACGCATCTTACCCCACCCTCATACACACACGCATCTTACTCCCATCCCCATGCATGCAGGCATCTTACCCCACCCCCATACACGCAGGCATCTTACCCCACCCCCATACACGCATGCATCTTACCCCCACCTCCATACACGCACGCATCTTACCCCACCCCCAAACACGCACGCATCTTACCCCACCCCCATACATACACGCAGGCATCTTACCCCCACCCCATACACGCACGCATCTTACCCCCACCCCCATACACGCAGGCATCTTGCCCCCACCTGGGGAAATATAAACATCTCAATAATGTATTCTCTGACGCGTTAACTTGTTTCTATTTTCCGATTCGCGAAGTTACGGCAGCCGCGCACTGCTACCGGGCGCCGCATTCTTCCGGCGCGCGCTCACTTGTTTTCTGTCTTTCGTCTCGCGCAGGTAAGGTGGTCGTACACTGCTATCAGGGCATCAGTCGGTCGGCAACGATCACCGCTGCGTTTCTGCTGCTGAAGAGGGGCATGAGTGCGGACAAGGCTCTCCGCACACTGCGCAAGAAGCGAGAGGTCTTCCCTAACGAGGGCTTCATCGGCCAGCTGTGCAAGCTCAACAACTCGCTCGCGGCGGGCGTCGCCCACGCCGACGCCGGCTCGTCGCAGTAGCGCCCTCTGTGGGAGCCACGGGAGGGCCGCTCCCTCGCGCATCGCGTATTTATTGGAGGTTGTTGGGGGGTGGGTAGGGGGTGGGTGGGTGGGATGGTGGATGAGCAGGTCACAGTGATGCGGTGGGGGGGAGGGTGCGACGATTCCACGGGTCGCTGTGCGCGCGTGAGACGCAGCGTCGTATGGAGGGAAATCGGACGTCGCTGGTTGCAGTTCACGCCCGGCTGGACGCTCGCGTGCTGTCCCGTGCTTAGCAACCATCCTTAACCCAGGGGTGACTTGTCTGTTCGTAGAAAACTGGTTTGTGTACGTGCCAGCTAGCGCCAGATAATGTATGAAATAAGTAATAGTGCTACATATATAATTATATATATATAAAGAGTATTCTATCGGCGGGTTGGGGTGAGGGGCTAGTGATCTAATATGCTTACACCATCTACCTGCCCTAAATCTAAGTGCTTGCTCAGATACTGAGTAAAATAATTTCGCTGATCTCATGTGGATGAATTAATCTTGTCGTGGGATAGGTTTGATGTAGGAGAGCAGGGAGAAGAGGAGGAGGAAGAGGCGAAGGAGGATGAGGAGGACAAAATGGAAGCAGTAGAGAAGAGTAGGTGATTGGGGGGAAACAAGCAGAGGAAGAATGTTAAATGTTAAGGGGAGGACGAATTGATCTCAGTAAGTGATATGCTTTGTAACCTGGTAGTATGACGTGTCTGGTGTGACCTTGTAAACAACCGTGATCACGTCGGGTGAAATAGTGTGATTCTTGTGGGCGCGTGCGTGCGTGAATGCATGTGTGCGTGCATGCGTGTGTGGATAGTGTGACATTGTAGACAAATGACTACCGCGGTGTGTATATGATTAGCTTAAAATAACAACGCGACGTAATGCAACAGCTGCGGTTAACAATAGCTTAACATAGATATAACCGAACCACCTGCACGAGAAAGACGCGAAACGTATTGGTCCAGCTCGTGTCTGCTTTATAGTGGAGGGTTTGTGAAGGAAGATGACCCAGTGCTTTAGCACGCACACGCTCGCGTTGCATGTAAGATTGGTGCAGTGGTCGATGGCCGTTGTACAAAATCAAGCAAGATGCAGTCGTAGCGCATAGCTCAAAATAAATAGTCACACGTCTAAATTATGGAAGGTGAATCCGCTGTAACGTGCATGTAGTCATTGTAATAATGGTGCTGAGCTTTTACATGTGCGCGTGTGCGCGCGCGCGTGATGCATCCTAGATGTAAAGCTGTGAGACTGTGTACTTGAATATGTGAGCTCCCATTACTTGTTAGTAAAATTTTCTATTATCATGGCACCATCAGTATTTGAATGCATGCCTGCGCGTTGTGGCAGGGATGCGATCTTCGGTGACTATGGTCCGTGCAGTAAATTCTATTGCCAAGTATTGTGGAGTCCTAGCTATAGAAATAATGATATTGCCTTTGCGTTATTTTCGCCTAATTTTGTTGGTATCTGTTATACCAAGTGTCTGTCTAAGACGATAGCAGTTATTTTCAGTATACATTGTAGTATATATGGTATATATAGTATATATAGTTACACTGTAGTATATATACCCTATAGATAGATTTGAGTGCCCGCACTCTGTGAAACTTCCAGCTGACGCCAGCACTGTGCATACACGCTGCCCTAGTGGCATCTTTATGATACTCTTCTATGAATCTCCGGCACTCGTGGTCACAGGGTATGCGGAAGATTAATGTCTTCAGTGGATACGTGGTGAAACGACGTTGACCTTGGCAACTGTGAGAGTAGTGCAGCTCACGAAAACGTGCTCGTTACTTACGTTGTCAATGTCGATGGGAATCTCGAACTGCGATGCAGAATCTCAGAAGTCTTGCGAGCGACACCGGTTCTATATGCTGTCGTGCGCGGGCCGCGGCGCAGCTAGGGGTCGGTCGCTTGATGCCGTGTGGACACATAAACACTGATGGATTTGTTTTGATGAGGCCAGTTTTGATGTGATGTGAAGAGGTAACATGCATCCGATGCTACAGTGGATGTAGCACTGGGTGCTGCAGGGATCCGTGGCGGATGTGCAGGGATCCATGGCGGAAGCTGCAGCGATCTGTGGCGGAAACTGCAGGGATCTGTGGCGGAAGCTGCGGGGATCCATGGCGGAAGCTGCAGCGATCTGTGGCGGAAGCTGCAGGGATCTGTGGCGGAAGCTGCAGCGATCTGTGGCAGAAGCTGCAGGGATCTGTGGCGGAAGCTGCGGGGATTTGTGGCAGTTGCTGCAGGGATCTGTGGCGGAAGCTGCAGGGATCTGTGGCGGAAGCTGCAGGGATCTGTGGTAGATGCTGCAGGGATCTGTGGCGGATGCTGCAAGGTTCTGTCGTGGATGCTGCAGGGATCTGTGGCGGATGATGCGGGGATCTGTGGTGGATGCTGCAGGGATCTGTGGCAGATGCTGCAGGGATCTGTGGTAGATGCTGCAGGGATCTGTGGTAGATGCTGCAGGGATCTGTGGTGGTTGCTGCAGGGATCTGCGGAAATCTGTGGTAGATGCTGCAAGGATCTGTGGTGGTTGCTGCAGGGATCTGTGGCGGATGCTGCAGGGATCTGTGGTAGATGCTGCAGGGATCAGTGGTGGATGCTGCGGGGATCTGTGGCGGATGCTGCAGTGATCAGTGGTGGATGCTGCAGGGATCTGTGGCAGATGCTGCAGGGATCTGTGGCAGATGCTGCAGAGATCTGTGGCAGATGCTGCAGGGATCTGTGGTAGATGCTGCAGGGATCAGTGGTGGATGCTGCAGGGATCTAGGGATCTGTGGTAGATGCTGCAGGGATCTAGGGATCTGTGGTAGATGCTGCAGGGATCTGTTGTGGATGCTGCAGGGATCTAGGGATCTGTGGTAGATGCTGCAGGGATCTGTTGTGGATGCTGCGGTGGGTGCTGGGCAGACGTTACTTGCTTGCCACGAAATCAGCTTCGTTAGTAGTGGTATTTATATATCCCGTATGTAAATATTGCATGTTGACCCGTCGTTCCTGTTCATTGTTCTCTAAAGCGAATGCAATTAAAAAGCATATGAAACCATGACTCGTGTTCGACTTTTTTGCTTTCGTATGAGCACACGGCTTGACGTGAGTAGGATCAGAAAGTGGTGTCATGTGGGGATGGCTGAGGCAGAGGAGAGCTGCACACGCTAATCAAAGAAGTCGGATGAATTCCCGAGATTCTAACGGTATTGATCGAGAGGATGCTCTCGCTATTCGCGCATGTTGACTGAGCAAATGTTGTCAGGTAGTGTTGAGTTTGTTCAGCGGTACATCGTTTACAGGGTTGTTTGTCTCCTTGCTTGCTACAGGGGCCATGCAACAGAACTCTTCTGCAAATCGTTCACCGTTGCACTATTTCGTCTCTGGAAAAGGTCTTTTGAATTTTTTTTCTGTAAAATTTGGCACTAGTGTGCACTAATTTGCATTATGCACGGAAGTTAGATGCCTCGTGGACGTCTAGAAGACATTAGGAGTAAAATTGGGCTTGTCGTGTTATTGAGCCATTCTGTCAAGTGGCGTATCCATGGTGACCGGTCGGCCATTTTTGTGTTTGAAACGGGATCCGACTACTCTGTATAAAGTGCACATCATTTAGCTGGGAAAAGTTTCGAGCGGAGTATAGAGCTTGAATCTGTGGTTTACTGAAAAAATATAGTTGGGGTTCATATAAGAAATATATGACCGGACGCGTAGCCTGGGAGCTGGGCGTCCGGTAACCGGACGCGTAGCCACGGCCAGAGACACGGACTTTTAATTAATTTCGGTTCGATGCTTATTCAGGCTTGCTGCCTATGGACGCCTTCTAAGTGCTATTGTACACATAGAAATAATATAGGTATAGGTAAATGATATATACGTATATATTTCTATTGTTGTACACCGCCTACATCGAGTTGCAGTCGTAACATCGCGGAGGCGACGTCGTGCGCATGCGCGCCACCATCCAATCACGTTTCGACCATATCGCCAGCATCCATTCACGAAATCTCTGAGAATGCATGAACTACTGAGTACTGTTGTTATCTCGGCGGTGGTGTGGCGACGACACGTGTGAGACGACGGTTCGCTCGGACAAACAAAGCACCAAGGTCAACCACTAGAAACTACAGATGACGGCATAGCAGTGACGATCTCTTTCTCTCTCGCTCTCTCTCTCTCTCTCTCTTTCTTTCTCTTTCTTTCTCTCTCTCTCTCTCTCTCTCTCTCTCTCTCTCTCTGTTTCTGCCTTTTCTCTGTTTCTCTTCTCTTTCTTTCTCTCTCTCTTTCTCTGTCTTCTCTCTCTTTCTCTTCTCTCTCTCTTCCTGTCTCACTCTCTCTCTCTCTCTCTGTCTGTCTGCCTCTCTCTCTCTCCTTCTCTTTATTATGGTGTTCCAAAATTCAGCACGATTCAAATATGCGATGTCGCACATTTCTGTTCCATAATTGCCGTCGCGCCGTGTTTTTTTTAATCATTCAGCAAACACGACGTCGTCCTTTTTCAACCACGACGTCGCCCTTTTTCAACCGTGTTCCATAAATGCCATCGTGCGGGGTGCGGCCCATCTAATTTCGACCACTTTTTGGTAGGGCGTAAAAGCAAAAAAAACAATCCGAAGAATGGCCGCACGCCGCGCGATGGCATTTATGGAACACGGTTGAAAACGGGTGACGTCGTGTTTGAAAAGGGCGACGTCGTGGTCGAGGAAGGATTAAAAAAATACGACGCGACGGCAATTATGGAACAGAAATGTGCGACGTCGTGCGCGACATCGAACATTTGAATAGTGCAGAGCCGCACGCCGCGCGATGGCAATTTTGGAACACCATACTACTACTATACTTCCACGTTCTTCCTCTCTGTGTATCTCTCGCGCTTGCGCACACTCTCGGGTAGTGCAAGTGTCTCTGTATTATATATAGATACGGGTTGGATATATAGATAGATAGATAGATAGATATAATATAGATAGGTAGATAGATAGATAGATAGATAGATAGATAAATAAATGGATTGATGGATGGATGGATGGATGGATGGATAGATAGCTAGATAGATAGATAGATAAATAGATAGATAGATAGATATATAGATAAATAAATGTATGGATGGATGGATAGATAGCTAGATAGATAGATAGAAAAATAGATAGAATGATAGAAAGATAGATAGATAGATAGATAGATAGATAGATAGATAGATCGATAGATAGATAGATAGATAGATGGATATATTCTTGGGTATTTTTCTTTTAACCAAGTGGTCACCAACTGAGCGCTTTATTTCCCGGGCAACGCCGGGTGTCCCGCTAGTTCTATAATACGCATATAAACTATAAGTGTATTGTGTTTGGTACGAGGAAAATGAGAGGCGGCTGTAAAGTTATGTTGATCGCTAGTTTTATCATTATAGACTCCTAGCATACGTCTTAAAGTCTCGTCGAATCTGCATGGGATAGCGCAATGGATCTATGCTCATTAGAGCCAATCGAGGCCGCCACGCATCTATGCATGTTAAACCTATTATTCTCTAGTTTATTCTCTGTGCGGATATTATAATCTACAGAACTGCAACAACGGTGTAGAAACCATAGTATCCTCGTCGCATACCGAAATGAAATCGCGACTTAATCTTAAACTTAATCTTAATCCTAATCTTAATCGTAAACTTAATTTTAATCTTAAACTTAATCTTAATCTTAGTCTTAATCTTAATTTTAATCTTAATCCTAAACTTACACGGCACAGTTACAATCGTACTTGATACTCGGTCAGTGTGAGTGGATGTGTCTGATCGTGTTGCTGTGGCGGCGGCGGCGGCGGCGGCGGCGGCGGCGGCGGGCGCCTGCACTGTGTCGTCTGCGTTGTTACAGAGAGCGATGGATCCTGCCATCCCCGCATTCGTTGGGAAGCTGTGGCATCTCGTTTGCAGCGCCAGCACCGACGACCTCATCTTCTGGAGCTGGGTAATTCGTCGCAACTCGCGCGCCGTTTATGGCAGGCGAGGTGGGACACATATAGTATTTGGTGGTCGTTAGCTCGATGTATTATATAGCTATATATTGTTTTATATAACGTGTAAACGTTTTAACGAACCTTCTTACATTATAATACTGTAATATCAAACACACCCGCGCACATACACACACACTCACACACGCGCGCACACGCGCGCGCGTATAGTGTGGTATTATTGTATAATTATGCAATGGTCTCTCATCTTATACACGCATATAACATATATATCTTAACACTTGTGCATGCGCGCGTCTATGTGCATGCGCGCGCGTGTGTGTGCTCGCGTGTGTGCGTGCGCGCGCGTTCAGTTTCAGGTAGCTCTGTCGCTATGTATACTACCTATTTGTTCTTAGCATTGCCTGTAGATAAAATGTTGCAAGCAGGGTAGTAGGGTCGCCAAGTGCTCTCGTTGCTTTCTCTCTGCGGTTGACATTTTGAGCTATTCTTCTTTTTGTTGCATGCAGGCGTATGCGTACGGTTGGCACGCTACACCGAGATGTGTAAAGAAACGTGACCGCTGTTAAAATCCCTATAGGATCTTCTTATACTTAAGAGTCAAATTTTAAGAGCCAAAAATAATCGAGTAAGCGATTGCTTGATGCATCGCGTTTTTACAACTAATGAGCCATTTTCTGCAAGTGTGCTTCATGTAATTTCTGTCATGCGTATATATCGGCCATGTTTTTAAGATACGATACGGCGATCGTAGAATGTTCTCGCATACGCCCATTTATGCCTACAAACATCTCCGTATGCATGCGCCATTGGCCGACAAACAGGTCAGCCTAACTAACGCAGCCACGAACATTCGCAATATTCAGCTTTATTGTTTAATTAGGCAGCTTATTGCAGGCGCTGTGGGCGCTTTTGATTGGTCAAACGGACGGCGCGTCCATAGTCCAACCGCTAAGTGATTTAATCAGGTGGTCACGTGGTCAACATGAAAGATCTATGAGAACAGAAGAACGAAAACATCCACCATTTAAAGGTGTAGATCTGCATTGACACAACTCAGCGTCTGCATTTCCTTGGATGCCAGAATGGTTTACCTTTAAATGTATGGGCGACGAAGGGAAAAAGATTCTTCGGGGAGCTGTTGTCGCATACCTTCAAGCACAGAAAAACTGGCGACGTTTATTCGACAGCTCAACCATGTGTGAGTTTATGCCTTCACATTTTAACACGCGTTCTTGTCCCTGTTGTTTTAGTTCTACTGACATTATTCAGTGACGTATCCAGCATAGGGCGGATCCGGCGTACGCCCCCCCCCGTTTGCAGGCCAGAAAAGAAATAAAAAAGTGTTTTAAACTCGCTATAAATTGTATAGTTTGAGTCTAGGTGAGATAGTGTATATCAGACAATCAGCATATGGCCCACAGTATATGCCTCAGATTGCAGGAAAAATGGCCTAAATATTTTAAAATTTCCTGGGAGAGCATGCCCCCGCCCCTAACGCTGGCGTGCCCGCGGCACGCGGGATTGCCCTCGGCAGCCCAGGTTCAGTTCGCTGTGTGTGTGTGGTGGGTGTGTGTGTGTGTGTGTGTGTGTGTGTGTGTGTGTGTGTGTGTGTGTGTGTGTGTGTGTGTGGTGTGTGTGTGTGTGTGTGGTGTGTGTGTGTGTGTGTGGCATGTTGTATGTATGTATGTATGTATGTATGTATGTATGTATGTTGTATGTATGCTAGTATGTATGTATGTATGTATGTATGTGTTATGTGTAGTGATGTATGTATGTATTTATAAGTCAGTATGTATGTATGTATTTTTATGCTATGTATGTATGTAATGTATGATATGTATGTATGTAATGTTATAGTATGTATGTATGTATGTATGGTATGTATATGTATGAGTATGTATAGATGTATGTAGTATGTATGTATATGTATGTATGTATGTATGTAATGTATGTATGTATGTATGTATGTATGTATGTTATATGTATAGATGACTGTATGTATTAGTATGTATGTATGTATGTATGTATGTATGATGTATGTATGTATGTCAATTGTATGTATGTATGTATGTATGAGTATGTATTATG